CAAGACTTTTAAAAACAGTATTCAAGTGTGTTTCGTCTTGACCATTGTATATAAATACATGTATTTATAGATATCAAATAATCTATATTTAGGCAGAAACAATTCATTTAAAAAAATTTATTAATTTAAATTATTTACATTTACTGTTGTCCTCATCTTTAATGCCATATTCATGATGTTTCAACCATTGTATGCTCTGGCCTTCTTCAGGTGATTGGAATTTCAAACTGAACTCTTTCATCCATTGGAGTAGATTGTTCTAGTTCCACATGCTATGCCTCTTCCACATGTCCTAGTTATCTCCCTTTAACTCAACTCTTCAAGTTCTTGTTCATCACTGCAGTAGCCAGGTACTGAACTCAAAACTCTTTAGGTCAAGTCACTGGAACCAACCACTGCTTTTAACAACAGCTGAAATGTCATGAATAGGACAATAAAGATGAGGACAACAGTTTGAACAATGGAAATAATTACAATACTTCATCTCAGAAATATAGACGGAAAATTTATTAAATTCAACCAAAAAGATCTGTCGGTTTAATTTTTTATACTTTTTTTTCCACTTTTCAAATAACTGGTTGCACATCCAAATCAAAATTGTAGATAAACTGTCCATGTAATACTTACCAACATTTTTTTGAGTTTAATGGATCTAACTTCAGTGTTAATAGCTGTTTTAAGTTTATTTATCTGTATCTTATACATATTGACCTAACTCGATGATTTCTGTTGCACAAGATTTATGAACAAGTAGACATTTACAAATGAAAGTTTACTCTTATTAAACAATTTGTGATGTCTACTGAAGATTTAAAAAAGGTTAAGTAGAATTAGTTAGTTTATAACTTATTATCTATTCTGGTGAATTTAATTGAATATTTAATGTTGAATGGGATACCTAGTGAGAATCAAACTCATTACTCAGTAATAATGATCAACCAGACTATCATCACTAACCATTACTCAATACTGATTGAAATGTTTAGATTTAATTGTTTATATATATGTATATATATTCATGAATAAAAATGAAAATAGGAAAACTGGTAATTGCTGACACGTTTCATCCAATGTGGACTTTATCAAAGCAAAATACAAAAATTTCATTGGATGAAATGCGTCAGCAATTACCACTTTTCCTATTGTCATTTTCATTCATAAATATCGTCTTCTCTGCTGGTTAAATCAGAGAATTTTCATATATATATATATATATATATATATATATATATATATATATATATATATATATATATATATATATATGTGAAAATTTCTCAGAGTTAACCTGCAGAAAACAATATTTATAAATATAAATGACAATAGGAAAACTGTATTCATTTCATTTTTTGCTTTGAGAAAGTCCACATTGGATGAAGCGCGTCAGCAATAACTACAGTTTTCCTATTGTCATTTATATTTATAAATATATATATATATATATATATTAGCTCTTGAAAATATATTTTCAATTGAGCACTGTTGAATGACAAGCTAATTCTAAAAACAACACCCACCTGTGTAAATGCAAAGCTCTTCAGTAAAATGAGTGGAGCATTATGGCTGCTTGGCATTTCTTTATGTTTGTAAAAACAATATGCTAGATTTGGTTAACTATTTCTGTCGAGTGAAGATAGCTTAGTGGTAGAAGCTCTGACTGACACTAAATCGGTTGGTTTTTGATCTGGGCTTGAGTCATTTGGTTGTCTAGTCACGCTGAGGAGTTGTGAAACAGTACTGTCTGCGAATGACATATGTGTATATATATATATATATATATATATATATATTGAAATGGATTAAGTCTGATAATTATTTAATATATTTTCTGTTTACACATTATTTCAATAGATATAATTTATTTAAGTAAATGCTCTGTTTTTTAATTAAACAGTATTAATTATATTTACTGCTTTGAATGTTTGAGAAATTTTATAGAAAATATGCGTTCTTTAAAATAAATTGAACCTGTGTCCTATATGAATCTGTCATTTGATCTGACATGCTATACCACTTAGCTACAGAGAAGTGTCTATTTACCAAAGTCCAAGTTAATGTTTTTAAAAAAATATCTTCAATAATCTTTCCCAAATGATCATATCTGCTCAAGAGATGTAAACAATGACAACATATTATGAAATGGATTAAGTATGACAATTATTTAATATATTTTCTTTTTCTCTGTTATTTTAATAGATATAATTTATTTAAGTAAATGCTCTGTTTTTTAGTTATTATTACTTACATTTACTGATGACATGAATACAATTAGGCAGCAACAAGTATTTATACAAACAAGTTTGATTAGAAGGAAATGACATGGTGCATATGCTTAGTTTTTTAATGTATTTTCCCAATATATATATATATATATATATATATATATATATATATATATATATATAGTATTGGTCTTTATCTGGTGGCTTGGCTTCAAGCACTTGCCTACTGTCATTCATAAGGTTGCTTCTCTGTGTCTTTTTTATGAATACTCTCATGGTAATTGTTCGGATTATCTCTATGGTATCTACATGTTTTGGATTTAAGTGCAGCACTAGACTGTCATCAAGATCTCATCAATTTACAGTTAAGCTGGCTTTGATGTAGCCATAAGTTTTATGCTAAAAGTTTCTTTTCTCATATTTCCTACTTGGGAAACTCCTTTCTGGCTCAATGCTTTCCAGCCAACTTTAATCAGTAAAAATTTAAATGTAATGTCAATTGCTATCTACTGTCTTCCTGATTCCTCTTTGCTCTTCCTGCTTATTAGTAATATTTCTGTTCCTAATTCCTTTGTGTTGTGTTTCACTGGCTGTACTGCCTGGAGTGATACCAATTGAAAATAAAAGAAAAAACGGAAGGCTCTGTAGTTTTTTTTAACCCAAGTTCTTTTGATCTTTTCAAAGATCATCTTCAGGAGTGAATTACAAAGACAAATTTATTATAACTGCAATAAAATCTGCATTCTGATGGGGATTTTTAAAAACACGAGCAAACTATTACTTTATAATTTTAAAATTTATCCATTGTAGCTATGGAATTATTTGCAAAACAAGCATTTTGGTGTAAGGGAGTTGACCAGAAATTACTAGAACTGGAAAGGATCAGTATAAAAAATAAATAGACACAATATTTCTATATTATTCAATGAAACATGATTGAATAAAGATATGCTACCTAAATATATGTACATACATACATACATACATACATGTGTGTGTGTGTGTGTGTATACAGACATAGAGAGAGAGAGTGAATGACAGAAAGAGAGAGAAAGAAAAAGAAAGAAAGAGATACTGGAAGAAAAGGAACTTTACAAATTGTGGTAGATACCTACAATGACACTTAGATAAAATAAATAGATACAATAAAACAATTTGGTAAAAATGTATTTAAATAAATATATATTATATATATTTATGCCACATGGGTATTACAAATTTTGCAAGTAAGTCAGTGTACTTACTACCAAGCATCTAGAGAGCTAATAAAACGTAAATCCTGAAATCGGATGCTCTGTTGTTTGGAAAATCTCATAAGAAAGCTGAATTTTATGTCCAACATAAGAAACGTTGCTAGAAGCAGAATTGTGCCATTTTTGTCTTTTAGCGTTTTTGTTTTTAAGTAGAATTTGGGCCCTGTCCAATGTCAGTTTACCTGCAGAGATAAAGGAAGGTATGCTGGCTACAGACGTTTTTGCTTTTAATAATAAGCACTGCCGCACTGCATCCACCTGCTTGGATATTTCCATCAGATTCAGCTTCCAGATATTTCCACTTAATCCTGTGTTTCCCAAATATAAACAGGAAGTGCTGAAGAATTTTTGGGCCCCACTTTCCTCTTTGCTCTTTGACAGCTTTGTTTATTTTAGTGCCCTAAGGATCTCTCCTGTTCCCATTACCAATTTCATGGCTGCAAGAACTTGTTGATGTAGTTTAACATACAAACTGACTGAGGTTCAGCATTCAGATAATTACATCCTTATCATAAGGATTAGCATGACATATATATAATTAAGTTTGTTCATATCTATTTAATAATTTACCAACCTATTTATCTATCCACCTTCTGTATACCAATATACTTACAGTGGGTTGAATTCGATCTACAGATGCCTAACATTATATTGTTTCAAATGTAACATGTCTCTTCATCATCCACAGATGGATTAATCTGTTTACATTCATATTTACCATAGTTGATGGCATATAAGACTCACAAGCATATGAGATGCACCCCAATTTCAGCAAGGCAAATCAAGAAAAAGTTAGTAATTAGTAAAATTAGTAAAATTATTAGTAAATGGTACAATCTAGGCTATATTTATGAGGTATTATTTTGGTTAAACAAGCCATGAACAATTAAATGAAAAATAATAGGAAAAAAAGAACACAAGCCTATAAAAACTTTATTATATCCAAAGTTAAGAAAAAAAAAAATTAAGCAAATATTACAACTGAGCAAAACAGTACATTTACCATTAAAATTTTATTCATCTCCCAATCCATAAAATTCATTGTCTTTGTTATCAAAAATCTGATACTCATTTTTAATACTACTAACATCGTCATTAAATAATGCATCATCTTCCATTTCATTGAGAGCTTTGCTAATGCTACACTTTTTAAAAGATTTCACAACAATTTCTGGTCTAATATTATCCCAAACTTGCTTCACCCATTCGCAGACTTGTGCAATGCTGGTCTTTTTATTCTTCCTGTAAGTGTAAGGTTGTGATAAGGCATGGCCATTCATGTTTAAACCTAAGCTAATAGAAGTTACCAGGTAGATAATTTCGGCTGACTATCGTGAATTTTAAACCTACATATGGCATATAAGACGCAGGGGAATTTTAAAAGATATTTTTAGTAAAAAATGTGTGCCTTATATGACGTCAAATATGGTGACATTCAGAAGAATCCCTATAGACAATATAGTAATGTGTATATCTCGTAATATGTCATATGTCGTATAATATGTCTTACAATATGTCTAATCATATGTTTCATATTTCTTATAATATGTCTCATAACATGTCTAACATGTCTCATAATACATCTTATAATATTTCTTATGATATGCTTTATGTTTCATGTTTCATGTTTCATAATGTATCTTATAATATCTTATAATATATCTTATGTGTCTTATGTCTCATAATGTCTTACAATATATTTCATATGTCCCATAATGGCTTATGTCTCATATGCTTTATAATATGTTTCATGATGTATCTCATAATGTCTTATATATATATATATATATATATCATCACATGACTTATGTCTCACAGTATTTATCAAAATGTCTTATAATATTTCTCATAACATGTCTCATCATATGTCTCATAATATCTCATCATGTATTTTGTCTCTTAATATGTTTTTTAATATGTTTTGTATCTTATCATATGCCTTATAACATGTCCTATAATGTGTCTAATAAAATGTTTCCTATTATTTTTTTAATCATTTCACCCCAAGCAAGGTAGGAATACCACTATTATGCAGGGTGTTATAGAGAGTGAAAGTGAGAGAAAAGACTGGGTATAGGGAGAGTGTGGAAAGAATAAAAAATGAACGGGATTCAAGATGATAGGTGATGATTGATGTTGGATTTAAATTTTTGAAGATTGTAATTATCTGGGAAGCAAGTAAATGGAAGGGAGATCTACAGGTGGGAAGTTTGAGAAAAGAAACAGTTGGAGTAGAAGTGGCCATTGCATTTAACTATTTCAACAGTAAGCAGGTGGGACCTAAATGCCAATCTAGCAGCATGCTTAAATTCATGTAGTCAGGGCATGAGCGGAAAAGAGCAGTTGTTATGAAAATATTTATAGAAAAGACAGAGGGAAGCCACGTCAGTGAGATAATGACTGAAGTAGAGATGCCATGTCAGGATTGATTATATCTTCTTTGGATTTTGTCAAGAATTTTGAGATGAATAGAAGTAGCACCAGACAAAATATGGCAACAATATTCAATGCATGGAGGAATGGTAGATTTGTAAATGTGCAACTTCTAGCATGACTCAGTGACCCAACTTTCCTTGCAGTACATGCAGCTATTAATTTAATGTAGTTGTTCCACTTCAATTCAGTTGTAAACGTGAGGCCAAGAAGGTGCAGTGTGTTGCCTTCTTGAAGTCCAGAATCAGCCATGCTGAAGGTGGGCAGGAAAGTTTCTCTGTGATTTTGTTAAATAAGAGCAGTTTAGTTTTGGAGGCATTCAAATTAGCAAGCCATTTTATGTCTTCGTTACCCATTGATTCGAGGTCCTTTTCAAGTGCAGCCCTGATGGATTAAATCAAATAATTGTCCTGTAATACCATAGCCCTGAAGCTTACATACAATACCAGCATGCCAAACCTTGTCAAATACCTTCAAGATATCTAGAGCCACAGCTTGAACTTCACCGTTATTATCAAGAGCTTGATATACATATTTAATGATGGTCGTTAGCATACCAGTGGTAGACCTGGAAAAGTGGAAGCCATATTGTTTGTCAGAGAGTAGGTCATGAGAGTTAAGATGCTTAACCAAATCAGTATTGATTAAAGCCTCGAATACTTTGTCAAAAAGCTGTAGGGGAATAATAGGGCGATAGTTAGAGGGGTCACAAAGTTCTTTTGAGTTCTTAAAAACAAGAACTAAATAGGAGGATTTGCAAAAAACTGAAAGCAAGAAGCAGTGAGACAACAATTGCAGAGTTTGGTGAAAAAAAGGCCAGCTCGGGAGCTCATTTCTTTAGGACAACAGCTGTATTTCTTAATAATATATCTTATGATATGTCTTATGTTTCATAATGTATCCCATAATGTCTTATATGTTTCATAATATGTCTCATAATATTTATTAATTTTCTTAATTTCATTTTCATAGATGAGTATGTAGTGGTTATTTGTGAACCAAGTACAACTTCTAGACAAGCCTGTTACAATCAGTTTTGCACGAATACCCTTGGGAATGAAATCCATCCCTCACTTCTCCCTCCAGTTATGGGTTAAATAGCAAAGTAGACTGAGCTCTGGAGTCTTGGATAGTAGATTAGAGGGTCTAAGAGAAAGAATTTAAAAGTGTAGAGAAGAAAATGGGAAAAAACTTCACTATAATAAAGACAAGAAACCCATTGAGAGCCATGATCATCTTACCTCCTTCAGGGACATGACATTTAAAAAAATAATTCCATTATGATAAGAAAATTCTATGTATTTAATTTAATGATATAAAGTAAAGAAACTAAGCTAAATTTCAGTGAAGGTTAAAATTAGTTAGTCACAAGCAAGAATTATTGACAAATTTAGAATTCAAAATATGAGAGTTAAAGAAATTGCAGAGAAAATCTGCAAGAAAAAAGAATGTTTTTGAAATATTTTCTTTAATGAAATTCCTAAAATCTGAAAAATAAAGATTTTCTTCATTACGCGTGTATCAATTCATCAATGAATTAAATTAAAACATAAACAACACATCTTATTAAGTAAAATCATTTTTACTGAATA